AGGTGCAATCCTTGAGCAAGTGGACGTGATGCAACTTGGCAAGAGTGTCAACTTCTGCGTTGCTCCTTTCGACGGTGCTCCACTATGCAGGATTGGTGATGATCGCTCGGTATTTACTACAAGGGACCAAGCAAACCAGCTATCTCACGACCTATGCAGAGTCCTTCGACACAAAATCGGCAATTGCCGAGGAAGTGCTTTCAGGTGCGACGAGGGTGGATGGGTCGACATTGATGCTGTCATTGACGACCGAAACAACGACATATTCCCACCTAACACCTCGAGAGCGAAACGATACATGGGCATCATGGAGGTGATCAAGTGGCAGGAATCTGGACACAGGAAATCGAGATTTCAGGTCCTGGCAGCAAGGTTTCCAAGCATCATGAACCCGAACGACACGAGGGCGGCCAGGGAGGAAATGACCAAAGCTGGCATGGATCGGGACGACATCGACAGGATGTTCAACAGATGCGATGGATGGTACAGACCTTGGTGCATCCGAGTCACAACCGGTCACAGTGATTTTGGATTCATGAGCTCATCCGCACTGGCGAATAGGTATTCCGCAAGAATGGGTGATTCTCTCGGAGGAGCATTCCATGTGACGTATGTGGAAAACCTGCCAAGCATCGTACGCTGTGGGTTAGTCCCCGGCGGAATCGATGGCGGGAACAGGCTGGCGCTGCACTTCGGAGCGTTTGCTCCATGGGATGAGATGAACGTGGCGACGAAGACGACGCTGCGGAACGTGAGGAGAGGGGATCCGATTGCGATCATCTACATTCCCAGTGCAACCCTCGCGCGGTATGGGGCTGGAGTCGCGGCTAATGGGACTTTCATGGTCTTTGACGTGATCCCGTTCTATGAGGTCAAGTCCATTTGGATTGGCAAAAGCAACGGAGGGAAGCGCCTGGAGTACGCTGACATCAAGAGGGCGTACTCGAAGTGTGTGGAGAACGAGATCTGCCCTGGCTTTGTCAACTCATCCCAAGAGTCGGCAGCGATGTTCCTCCAGAACGTCACAAAGATCAGCGAGAGGATGCCGGAGACTGAGACAGGTGCCGATAATCTGCACTACATCGTTGACATGGTTAATCGTGCCTGCGAACTCTATCGAATCAACAAGATGGAAGAGTTCAATGCACAGGTCAACGAGGTCCGGGACGAAATCAGCAAAGTCGTCATCCTGAATGACGAGACATGGGAAGGACTGAGGTGCCGGATATGTCCATCATGTGCGACCGCGATCCCCACCTGCTTCTGCTTATGCCTGGAGTGCGAGGCACAACTGATCTCCATCGGAAGATACTACATTCACATCAAATCCGATGACGAGGAGGACAACCAAAACCCCAACGTCTCTGGAGATGCCAGGCGTGCACAGGAAGAAGCTAACCACGATGCGGCAGCACAGGAGGATGAAGACGAAGCGGAGGAAGTTCCGGGAGAAGATGACGACATGGACACGCAAGGATATACATCCGGCTATGCGTCAGAAGAAGAAGACAGCGGTTGGCATTACCGCGACACCGATCTGGCGTCACGGGACATTATAAGTTCCCAACGGATGGCGATCTGCCTTGACGAGCCGCGTGAGGCTCAGTACATGGCAGGATTTATCGCACTCCAGCTGTCCAAGATGTGGGGGATGTTTGAAGGTGGTGAGGAGAGAACGATGAATGCCGGACTCGAAGGGAGGCCGGGCTGCCCTTATCACAATGACTTCAAGAGGTACCCCAACATCACCGATCAGGATCAGGAAGGTATACTCTTGCCATCAACAGCGAAGAAAATTTCTCAGTCGGAGAATGTTCGGACAAGATCCTTCCGATCGGTTGAGGAGCGTGAAGATTATATTCGTATGATGGTGTGCAAATGCGAGGGACTTTACACATTCTACAAGCTGTGGATTGCAGCGAGAATCCTCGATGTCACCAAGGAAGAAATGAAGCTCCTGGTCAAGGACCGAGTGCACCCGGTGGGTGATATTATTTTCAGATGTTTTGCACTAGCTTTCAACTGTAAGTATATATCATTCGTGAGGGATGGCCTGAACCTTGGCAAGAATGGTTACACGGTCAACGTGAGCGCCATCATCTCGGCCATCGACCCGAACAAATGCGACACACCCCTGCTGGATTGGTGCCTTCGGAAAGGGCACTGGTTGCCAGAGGACTACAACAAGAAGTGTGTCCGGGCACGAGAAGCCCAGAAGAACTTGGACGAGGAGTTCCGTCGACGTACCCATAGGCTGTCCATTGGGGACAGGTATGCTTCGTGAAGATGCTGATTGCGGTACGATGTGGGTCAGTCCCCATCTGTTACTTGCGTCACATCGACACTGTTTCGGTGGAACGACTTATGTCATGATTTATATTCATGTGTCCAAGATGATTGGGTGTGTACATGGTTACATATTCCGATGACTATGACGCTCTGGATATTCATGGATGGAACTATTACCTTATAGATGATATCATTTCATTATTTATGCATTGTCCATGGTATCTGGAATGGCTATGATTTGCATTGATTACTCACCGATGTTTCTTTGCCGGAAATATGCAGACCGATTACAAGCAGGCGCCTCTGGTGGACTTTTGCGGCCAACCCATTTATGGATGACAGCTGCGCGATGCGCAAATGCGGCAGCTGGATTGTTCGTTGGTGGTCAAATGACGTGACGATTGTGTATTATATACACCTGCATATGGATGTGTGCTTCGATTGGAGGATGAATGTTTCACTTTTCGTACAATCGAACCCGGCATGTTTCACAGCGAATGAACGGTGTAGTGATAGCAAGTAAAAGAATGCACGACACGATTTCGTAGTTGAAGCCGTGGCCAGTGGAACGTTTTGTGGTGTTTGGACCGCATGATGAACAATGCGACCCAAATGGGGGATGTTAAAACCCTCTAGGCCCCGTGCCGAAATTGGGTAGCTGTTCTGAGGTCCTTGTTGGTGTTGCTTCCCAAGTTCCATTGATCGCCATTTGGCTCAAGACACAATTGAGGTTCAAGATCTGATGTGTGACTGCATACATACGTGATCGGCATTGAGAGCGAAAACACTTGCTTGCGCTGCATTTGTCAGGACCACTGTTGTAACTATCATTCCTTCTCCCTTACAACGTTTACACGGGTTCGGCTATAACGGCATCGTCCGTATACACCTTTCTACGTGGTTGGTATTACAGCTTGAGGGTTCGGTGCATAGCGTCCCACGGGACGTCACCTTGCCGTCTCTTGACACTTCCTCTCACGCCCGCTGTTACAGCTTTGATGGATGGTGAGTTGATTGAGTCAGGATGGTTGGCTTTTGTGGGAGTTCAGAGGAGCTCAATTAGTTTGGAGGGCACCGTCGTTGTCACACGGGCCAGCCTCAGTAGTGGTTAAGGATCTATGACATCAACAGCGCTCGGCACGATACTCCAAGCTGGTGGGCCTTTTGAGCTGCATTGCCATCCAGTCATCATTAGAGAGGGCTCGAGTGCTAGTTCAGCATCTGTTTTGCCGCCGGGTCGGCCAGTCACACCTATGAACACTAGGCCAGTGTATTTCTGCAAGTTCTCCGGTCATGAGCTTGTGTTGCCCTTAGATGTCAGGCGATCATATTGGAAGAGGAGTTTGTTTCTGGGTGGTCGTCAAGTCCCAGCTGCTGACATTGTTTGGAGTGTTGGTGGCAGGAATGGGCGTTGGTTGGGGTTTTTGCGACGGCGGCCGCAAGCAACATCACATTTGAGCTGGCATGCCCTGGACCAAGAGAAGATGCTGCAACATTTACTATGGCGGAGTTCACTCCAAATCCAGCTCTCGTGCGAATTGGCGGTCGCAAACGGAAAGCTGCACCAACTGGTCTCTCCTGGTCTAGGAGATGCTGGCCAGACAACTTTGCCAAGTGTGGACCCGAAGACTGCGCCACACCACACCACCTAATGTACAGCGAGAGCTCCACACGTTGCCGGCTGCCCCGCCTGCGATGCCAAATGTGCCACCTGACGCTGGGGGCGCCGGTGACAAATAGACATAATTTGAAAAATAAATGCTGCTTGAGATTCTGATTTGAGCTGAGAATACTCGGTTTGTGATGGGTTGCTGTTGGTGGCATACTTGAGTTGCGAAGCAATCTGATGCTCAGTGTTGAGTTGATTCGATACACATGCTTATGTGATGCAGCAGCGCTCTCAGTGATCAAGCCCCGCGCGATGGAGAGACGCGACAGGGCGACTTTCTTCACTTGGCTTCAGGCGGTGATCGCCCTGTTGTGGCAATTAGCTTATCTCAGCCTTCAGAGGTGAACGAAATTGCTGAGTCTGTGAACAACAGTTTGTGATGAGCCATTAAATGTCGGTGCTACTCCTGCTATAAGGCAGAGAAGGGTGGCTAAAAGCTGAAGAAGCTCATGATTGGCGTGGACCGGTTTTGATAGAGAAGAAGCAGGTTCTTCCTTTCTTGGCCGTTTTTGGGGACGGACCCCGGGGGCGGCACTATAAGGGTTTCTTTCTAACCCAATGAGCACCCCCATCTCTGGCCTCGAAGGGTTCTGCTAGGGTGACAGGTTTGTTTTGTTCTTCCTCGCCATCGTGCAACTCGGCCGCGTGGGCACCCAGAAGCTGGCGGTGAGGCCTGCTATGACGTTTGCGGAGCAGTGCCGTTGAACCGACAGTGGAGTTTACTTCTCTGTAGGTCGCCCTTCAGTCCAATCCAATCCAATCCAATCCGATTGTCTATGCGCTTGTTGAGATGGACCCTTTTTAAGTTGCATGCGGTGTTCCTCAACATGGGATCCCTTTTTGTTTGGTGCATTTTGCCAAGGGATGTTAGGACTGAACAACTTTTTGCCAACTCATGGGTTTTCCGTATTAAACCACTAAAAGTTGTTCACTTTGAGCAGGAGAGCAGATTTCGCAACCGCGTTTTGTTTTCCGCATTGGAAGGGAGTGGATCAATTCGGTGGCCCCGAGAGTACGGAACCAGAGCTTGCCAAAGCGGCAGGTGCTGCCCCCTGAGCCCGGCGGCCCAATCTTTTTGTTTCGCCGCAGCTTTCAGGGAGGGTAACCATGGTTGCTGTTGGGAAATATGTTGCATCATTTACATTTTTGCTTATTGTGGTTTAGGGGGAAATCCCCACCTAACTGCTAGAAGTTGATTTTTTGCTCCCCTTCCAACGTCAACCAAGTAAAGGGCTTCAAATGGGGGGATAGGCTGTTGGGGATATCCCCTGGGCTTAATTTCAGGGCACCCTCTTTAGGGTTTGAAGGTAAACCTTGGGTGATGTCCTCTTTGGGGTTGGTTTGAAGGTAAGCCAAAGGGTGACAACAAACAAAACCAAGACATACACATTGAGGTGGGCAGCAACATATCTCGAGATTGGGTCACAAAGAGTTTGTTTTTGTTCTTTGGGCAATCCTACAAAGGGAGTGCACTTAAGCAATCACTACAGCAACATGAGTGTTGTTGCCTCAACATGATCAAGGGGCGGAGCGTTTGGGCGAGCGCTCTCATGCCCGTGTTTGAACAGCCCATGCTCGTTGGCTTCGAAACCAAGCAGGCAGGGAACCAGGGAACTCTGACGGGGACTTCGTCGAGGGTTTGGCCCCGATGTCAAAGCAAACGAGGCGCCTAATTCTTGTATCGCCCTTCGACCTTTGCAACTTTAATGGCAACACATCTCTGGAATAACGTTCACTTCTGTTTTAGAGTGCATGGCCGACTAAAGGCTAATCAATCAATGTCCCTGTGCAAATGAACTTGCAGAGGACCTCCTTCGTGCCATGATGAGGGTGTTCAGGACCTGTAAAAGGACGGCCCGGCTCAATTGCGGTTTGTCAACCACACTTGTAGGGAGTTCAGCTCCGGGACGTTTTGGCGCGCAATCAAGCTGATTGGGGACATGTCGAAGGTAGGGATGTTTGGAACAACAAAAGCACAGAAGCAAACATGTCATGGCTTTCAACTCGTTGAAGCGGGACCCAAAAGCGTAATGTTCCAAGAGGGGGTATGGCCTTCAGGATAAAACTTGTTCTGACACAGCCGTGGTTTTCAGGGCTATAAAAGAAGATCAAACCGCAAGGGTAGACACTTGGTCCAAGGCTTCCTTTTGTTTCCCTGTACCAAGAGTGTCGGCCCTTGGGACTATCGTTTCGGGCGAACGTTAGCAACCGGCAAGCATTGAATTGGATTTTGCTTCAAAGAGTGACCAGTCCAACTGAGAGGGCCTGAAGGCAGACGTTGAGTCAACCAAATTTACCTGGGATCGATTTGGTCTCCTGCAACAGTATGTTCTATTTTGAAATATGCAACAGAGTCAGAAAGTATTATTGTTTGTGTACCCCAGATGTTGGCCAAGGCACGTGTCACGTGTATTTGCTTGTTTGGACTTGCTACACGTGTTACGGGTTTTGCCCTCTTTTGAAGGAGTCGGATATGACCTAACCCCTTCCTGGCTACCACCAAGAGTCCAGGTGGTGGACCTCCTAGAAGCCGCTCAACGTCCCCTGAACAGAGACCCCCAGACCCCTTTTCCCATGGCCACTGAGAGGGGGGGGGAGTAAGCGCAGGAAGCGACGTGAGCCGCGACTAACAGGTACTCCCCCATTCGAACAAACCAACATGGAACCCAAAAAAAGCTCCAAAATCGGAGCAACTTCATGCTTTTCGGGGGGCTCTGCTTGAATTTGTAGGCTTAAATTTATGTAGGCGGCTGGGCATCCTACAATGTAGCCCCGAAGCCGCGACTTTTTTTCGCGAGGCAGAAGGAGGGCCTTGACGGCAAGCCCGAGACTCGGGGAAGCTTAGACTTGCCTTTGGAGCAGTTTTCCTCCACATAGTTAAGTGTTTCTTTCAAATAAAAGCCCCTAAACGGTGGGTTTCCCGTGGTTCCGCTTGAAATACCGACCAAAAGCGGGCTGTTTGTGCTTTACGGGGTGGATTATCCGCTGTTTTCGGGGCTTTCGCCTTTTTTTTGGGGTTGCGCCGTTTCAGAACTACCGCCTCTCCCCGTACAAATCATGGAGCCCAAAACGGGGATCCCCAAAAGGAGATTCCTCTGCAAATGGCTGTGGTGGTCAAAACCGCTTTGGGATCCCATTTTGGGGTAGGTGCGCCACCCATGTCAGTCTGATTTAGTGGTTGAATTTGAATTTTCACTGGGGGTACGGGCTTTTGACCCATGGCCAAATGGCGTTGGGGGTCCAACCCTTTCATTTGCAGGGCGGTAAGCTTGCTTCAGAATAGGTAGAAAGTCGGGACTTGGACCCTCCCAAAATGGCGGGGTTTCTATTTAGTCCGTGAAATCAAGACGAAAAGGGCATCTTCAACGAAAACCCACATCCGATTCCTCAAAGGCGCCATAGCATGTTCTTCTACCTGGCGAGAATTTTGAGCTTCCATTCGTGCCTTCTATCAGGGTATCAGTTTGCCACCTTTGCAGCTCGTTTTTAGACCCCCAGCTTGCTTGAGCATGAAACCCGGACCGCCGGTGCCCCCTTTGAACATTTTTCTTGGAGGGGTTGCCCTTTGCAAACTAACTACGGCCCATGGGAGGTTTATGGGAGGTGTGTGAGAGGGACACAGTTTGATCTGCAAACATCTGAAGATCAGCAACTTGCCAAGTGAACATACGGAAGTTTGCCTCAGAGCCTTCTCTCCAATCACAATGTTTACTTGTTTTCTCGCACGCGGGCCTTTTAAGAGTCAATTATTTTTTTGGGATAGCATTCGCTTCGCACCAGCGCAGGCAGGTGGTGTATCGCAGAAAAGGGTTTCATCCATCCCACCTGATTTTGTTAATCCATAGCAGCTTTAAACAAACAAAATGTCTGTATGTGTTTTGGTTCTCGGGGTGGTGGAGGGGTACCGCCAGCCCGTGCGATGCGTCGGATCAAGCTGAAAGCCGTGCGCTCGCGCGCCTTCCATGTTTCATGTGTCACCAGGAGACAAGCCGCTTGGACTGGAAAATGACGCGGGAACTAAGACGATTCACCAAGGCTTGGATAGGAATTCGGACATGCGGACGAAGCTCAATGCTTGAAAATCAGGGTTTCGACTCGACATCTCAACTTTGGTTCGCCTTTGGTGTCTCTCAGAAATCATAGGTCAACCCTTGTGACGACTCAGAAAAGGTGCCTCAAATAAGGGGAGCCAGCATGGGTTCATTGGGCCCCAAGCTTCGTGCCATGCCTGTTTTATAGAATGTTCACTCTGTGCGTGTGGGTGTTTTCTTTAAAAGCGGTACCCTTGTCTAGGTTTGATAAAGGGGACACCAAAAGGAGAACCACAGTTGTTTGCCCTCTTCTTTAAAGACACATATGCATTTGGGCCGAGGCAGCTTGCGCAGTGTTAGACCTATGATCAAAGCTTGCAACAGGTTCCCTGCTCATTTGCAGCGCTATCACTAGCAGCACCTTCTTTGTCTTTCAGATCACAATATTACACCATCCACACAACTCTCATCGTTCAATCGCGGCACCTCCATGCCATGCTCGCCCCTTCGGCGTCATTGGGGAGCAGCCGCCTGGCGCCGCGGTCGGCGCGGCAGTTGGCGCCGCGGTCGGCGCGGCAGTTGGCGCCGCTGGCGCCGCGGTCGCCGTGGGCCCGGCCGCCGATTGGACGGCGGGCGGGGCCTGCCAAAGCAGCGCCCACTGCGGCCAGGGAGGATGAGGCGGGAGCACGCGGAGCAGGCTGTAGGCTTGGTTGTTGGTTGCTTGTTTGTGTGTGTGTGTTGGTGCATGTTTGTCAGTGTGTTTGGTTGTGTGTGTGTGCTATTGTTCCTGGTGCTGATTGTGATGTGTTCATTGTTTCTTGTCTCCTCTAAACCAGCTAGACAAATTGAAATCCTAATGCTTGCCCTCTCAGGCCCCTCTGGTTGGATAAACCAGCTTGACAACCTCCTATGAATACCTGGGATCTCAAAATACTGTGGATGGACAAAATCCTGCACCACTTTGAAACCATGGGACACTATTGACACTATTGTTTGTTGGCATTTACAGGGGAATCATCATTCAAGTGTTTCTGAACGGTGGTGCCCAAGAGGAATTCGTCCATCCACAGAGGTACCCAGCCAGCCCACCCAGGCACCCCCCCCCCAAAGCCTCGCTGAGTCCAAGCCCACGGTGCGGCGTCTGATGGCGCTGCTGTGGCCGGACCGCGCGCTGCTGGGCCTGGCGCTCTGCTTCTTGGTGGGCGCTGCCGTGTCGCAGGCGGAGCAGCGCTTGGGGGGGGGGGGGGTGGTGTGCCATCTTAGAGCTGATTTTGCAGCCTGGAACCCTAAGAAACCAATGCGCTTCACGAAGAAGGTTGCAAAATAGACCCTAAGCGTCCATCATACAAGGGGGGGGTGTTTGGGGAGGGGGTGAGGCCCAAATTAGGGTACCTTGTCCCGGAGGAACAAGTACCTTGTGGTTATGGTCTATTGTGGGAATGATCTATTTGGGGGGGGGGGGGCCGGTGGTCTTGTGGAGTTTGGTGGGGGGGTCTCTTGGAGTTGGCTGGGGGCCTCTTGGCTTGGGTTTGGGGGAAGGGGGGTCTTGGGCTTGGGGGGGGGGGGGTCTGGCAGAACGATTGGAGTTAGGGTAAGTTGGGGGTGGGGGTCTTGGAGTAGGGTGCAGGGGGGTTGGGGTGCCTTTTGAGGTTCCCCGAATAAACACACCCATTTGATTGGATTTGTTGCCTTCGAAGTGTTGGGAGCATATTTCCCGCACGCAACAGGTTATTTTTTCCACTGGGGGCCACTGCCACAGAGAAGAGGGGGTTCACCAACGAACCCCTCTGAGATCGAAGTGGAGAAGGCACCCGCGAATTTGGCGAAATCTTCAGTTTCAAGCCTTCAGATGCTAAGATATTATGTCTATCCTGTCCTAATTTGATTGGTGCACGTCTTGCCTTTGCTTGAAAGCCCAGGATGGCTCAATCCTGTTTTAAGTTGATTCGTACCGAGGGGCTCCGGTTCACTTGGCAATGCTTTCCGGCTTGGGGACTCCGTGTTTTTTTTTTTTTTTTTTTTTTTTCGATTGCTGCCAACGATCCAGGTCCAGGAAGGTCAAGGCTAGGAACAAAGCAAGCTCGAGATTTGCTTCACCTGGGGTGGTGACCCTGGAGTTCCATTTCTATGTGTGTACATAAACCAATGTTCTAGGGGCATCTTCTCCATTCTTTCCAGGGATCCTTCTTTCTAGAAAACCTGCGGAAACCGAGGGAAAACGGATCCGGTTTTTGGAAAGAATGATGGTTGAAAATAATGGCGAATCAACCCCTAGAAATGCGCGAATTGTTCCTTTTGCTCGAAACGTGCCATTGGGGTCCCCCTGCCCCCGGAGGTTTGTTTTCGAGATTTGCTCCACCCTTAGGTTCTGGGGCGGGTCTAGAAGGGTGTGTCTGCAGGGTCCCGTCCAGTGGAGGAGAATTGAGGGTCACCCAGTTCAAACAGGTGTGTGTGTGTGTGTATGTTAAGATGGAGACCTCACTTTTGGCAGATGCCAGGCATTTCTTCCTCACTGCCTCTCTGTGACGCTCAAGGCGATCATTGACGGCCAGGCAAGAGGGTATGAACAAACCACTCCCAATGCTCCCGGGCGAATTTCTGCAACTAGGGGAAGCCATCCATTGTAATATCTATGCTGGATGCCGCAAATAATATTGCAAGTAAACCAATCATACTCGACCACAAAACATGGGAAATGAGTGTCATTTGGAGGGTGATGGGTGTCTTCATTCCCTTTCTTGCAATAGGAACGTTGGTAAAATACTGGGTGGCTGGCAGGTTTCAAGCATGGGCTTGTCCCCAACTATCAAGACCTCCAGGCCCCCTTTTCCTTTTCTGCGCACCTTTTTGCCACGGGAAATAGAAACACCTTGGAGATGGACTCATTTGGGATGCTGTTTGAGGTGCTGTTTGATTTTCGCAAGTTTCCCGGCTGGGTGCTGTTTGCTGTGCTCTTCAGGGTGACGGTGCGGGCGCATTTTTGCGAGATTGACGGCAGGGTGCAGGGGGGCATGCAGTTTGGGGTGCTGGTGCAGGTGCTGTTTTGGGATGCTGTTTGCGGTGCTGTTGGAGGTGAGTGACGGCGCGGGCGCATGTTTGGTGCTGTTTGGGACGCTCTTTGGGAGGGTTCTGTTGGAGGTGCTGGTGTGCAATCATTGCTATCTGGGGTCTATGCTGGTGTTTTGGTTTCCTTTAGAACAACCCCAATCCAGGCCAATCACTTGTTATCTTCAAACCACGTTTGACTGAGGTTCGTGCAATGTGAATACGTTCTCAGCTACCATGAAACAAGCAGCCCATAATCCCACAAAACCAGGGGACTGTTTGGGCCAAACATCTTGTTTTGTCGATGGTCAAGTTGGGGTTGGGGACAAGAGGGTTGAGCCACCAAATTTCGCGTTTGTTGCGGGAGCCCGGCTCAAATGGGTATGTCTCAACATTGAAGCTCCCCTTAGGCGCTTGGTTTTGCATTGGTTTCCCTTCAGCAGCCATCCAAGAGGGGGTGGCTCATTTTTGAGACACACCCGAAGCTCCTTCTTTCGGTTGTCTTGCAAGAAGGACCGTGTCAATTGACGAGTTAAACCGAATTCGAGCCAACCGCATTACAAAGCTCCTAAGGATTCCTTTGAAAACTCTGGGGCACGAGCTCCTTCTGGCCGCATGGTGTGTTGGCGGCTTCCAGCGACCTGCACTCAGTGACCAGGGCTCAAGGACCATGGCCCTCCCATAGCTCCGGCTAGGGCTCTCTGAGTCACGCGAGCAAACACACATCTGAAGCAAAGGGGAGGTAG